CCCCAAGTTCTGTGAATCTGGACAGAAACTCTTAATATAGTAATAAAACACAAAATTGAGTGGATGAAATAAATAGATTAAATAGCTATTGTTTCGAGAGTTGAAAATGAAAGTGGTTTGTGTTATTCTGTTACTGCAAATTGGTGGAAATGGAACACCACCTCAGGTCCCTGGCTAGCGTCTGAAGCCTTATAATTCACCCAGGTCTAGTTTCCCAGGCAGCATGTGGTGATAGCAGTTCATGATGAGAAACCATGGGTGGTGACTGTCCTTTTTCTCCTGAAACTTTGAGTCCATTTTAGAATATATTTACAAGAAGTACATAACACAAGTCTGTGAAGCCCACTTACTCTAAATAGTTCTACGTTTTACAGAGTCTTGGCTGTAGTCACGACCTTTAGTATTAGTATTAGGGCAATTCTCAGTTCACTGTATAGTATATATGCATAAAACAAAGTGGTAAATCTTACCAATTATTTAAACTTTTGGACTACAGGCACTCATGTAAGTTTTTTAAGGGATATTTTTAAAATGGTACCAATAAAAGAGAGAAATGTTTGCTAAGTGATAATCTTTAAGTAAGAAAGAGAATGACAGAACCAAAGACCACATTTAAACCTTTGTTTTTTCTTCCCTTCTCCTACTCACAGATATCACTTAGGAGAATATTCATTAACCACAGTGATAAATTACAGTTTTGTCTCTAGGGACAAGCCATGAATCCCTAAATTTAGAATCTAGAGTTCACATTTTCCCAGTCTTCCCCCCATCCTGTCCTCATCATCCGTAAGGACAAATGCCAGAATATCAAATGATCAACATTCTCTGTGGGTCAGCACATTCAAAGATTTTCCACTTCATGCATGACAATGTAAGGAATTATAATATTCAGAAAAAGAACTGTATTCTTATGGAAAGTAGCAATCTATAAGATTACAGAGAAATTCATAATATGAGAAAATGGCATAGTGGAAAATGCTGAATCACATCAAATACTTTTAAAGTAGCCCATGAATGTCAAACACAATTAAGCCTGCTAAACCATCTTCCTGAGTTCTGAGAAATAAGGAGAGATGTGTCTTAACAAGAGTGAATAAAGAATCAAAAGACATACATTCCCATCTCACCTCAAGGGAACCACAGAACGACCACCTAGCTTTTTTGGAGTCCTAAATCAGCATTCTCTATAAAATGAGTCCATATGAAAAATGTCTCCAAACCTAATGTCCTAGGTTCATTTAAATATACTTTAGTTTATTCTGAATTACCTCCCCTCAGTTTATTTTCTTGCTTTTATGTTTTGGCAAGGGTCTGAAGAGAATTAAAAAAAAATGCTACCATTGTAAATTCTTAAGTACCAGCTGTTGAGTACACATATATAA